TATTAGTAGCATGGAAAGGTCCATATAAAGTATAAAAAATTTGTGGGGAAAATTGGGCTACCTCATAGAAATCAAGGGGAAACCTAAACTTTATCATATCAACATCCTTAAGAAATATTCCGTAGAAATTCGGTTAACTGCCTTAATAACTTTGACTTAGTTTTTTCCCCCACGAACTTGAATACGAACAACTGAAGAATGTAAGGTGTGCGTAATTTGACACCTCTAACTTAGACTATGATGAAGAACTACACGACTTGGTGACTTTTGACCACTCGGACGCAATCAACATTAATATTAATGAATCTTTGGATGACCATAAGAGACATGAACTACTTCAATGTGTGAGTAACTTTTCAGACGTCTTTACTGATATTCCAGGTGTCACCTCCACGGTAGTCCATAAGACTGACTTAGTGACGGACAATCCTATCAAACGAAAATTATTTCCCAGTTCCAGTTCACCTTAGGGATTGCATTTGACAGAGAGGTAGACAAATTATTAAAACTAAAGATCATTGAACCTTCAGTATCTGCATATTGCTCACCAGTAGTCATGGTTAAGAAGGAGGATAATTCATATAGACTTGCTATTGACTTCAGAGTCCTTAATGCTATAACTCGGTGGGATGCTGGCCTATGCCCTTAATAGATTTGCGAAATTTACACAAATTTTATGACGCTTCCTTCTTTTCAGAGATTTATATGCACAGGCATATCATCAAGTAATGTTAGATCCTTTTTCTAAGCAGTACACCGCTTTTCCTACACACCAAGGACTGATGCAAAAAAGAACTATTTCCCTTCGGTTTGGTAACTGCCTGTGCTTTCCTACGTGAGACTGATGAGAAAGGTCTTGGGTAATATGCCAAATGTTTCAGTTTATTTTGATAACATTTACGTTAAAGACTCCACGTGGGGCGAACATATCCAAACATTAACATCAGTTTTTGGGAGGTTACGCTCACATGGCCTCACTGCCAAGCCGAAGAAATGCTTTCTTGGGTATAACAAAATTAGATATCTTGGACTGATACTTTCTAATAACACTCTGCAGCCTCCCAAGTAAGATCAAAGCTTTATTAGAATTTAAATTCCCCAAAACCAAGAAGCTCATGCGTAGTTTCTTGGTTCTGTAAATTTTTATGCACGGTTTATCCCGAACCTTACTGATCTTACAGGCATCTTTTTCCCACTTCCTTAAAAAGTCTGTGAAGGAACCTCTTGAACTTCCGACGTAGCTCGGGAAAAGTTTAATGAGATTAAAAGTATCTTTTCGAAAGGGCCCTATACTTAAGGTTCCAGATATTATTAAAACATTTTGCTTAAAAAACTGATGCCTCCAATACTGGCTTAGGTGCGGTGTTACTACAATACCATGATGGTACTCCCTTCCCTGTATGCTTTTCCCAAGCCGGAAAAATCCTTCCCGCAGAAAAAAAGATACTCCACAATAGAAAAGGGAAAGTTTAGCCCTTGTGTGGGGTATCTCCAAACTTAAATTTTATTTGCTGGGAAAAGAATTCATTTTAGAAACGGACCACAAACCTTTGATATACCTAGAAACTTTTAAGGGAACCAACAGTCGCCTCTTGAGGTGGACATTGGCACTCCAGGCTTTTAAGTTCCCCTATTGTGTATATCAATGGTTCATCCAATTATTTCTCTTACTATAAGTCTTGGTAAGGGGGAGTGTGAGGGAAAAGTTCAATAGATAGGAGTAGCGAGGGAGTTATATAGTAACAATAGTTTTTATTGCCGGGGTACTTGTTAAGGTAGGGTACGTCAAGCTCCGCCTTTTTTTCCCCCACCCCAAAAGTGATAGTTTGACTGCCGGCTGCTTGTTAAGGTAGGGTCAGTCTAGCTCCCGCTATCCCTTTCCCTCCTTCTTCCCCCCCCCCCCCGAAAGGTGACGTGTGGGGCTTTGGTCCCAAAAAGTAATCACTAGACTCACAGCTCCCCGCAAATACTTTGGAAAGACAGAGAGGGTCACCTGTCAATCAACGAGAAGAAATGGTGGAGATGGACTAAAGTTTCCCGAGACTTCCCCTTTTTGGATTTAAATTACCTGTGCACCTGTATGAAATTGCAGGACGTACCCCCCATCATTGCAGCGGTAAAGAACCTGCTTTCCTGTCATCGGGATATAATACTCAAGGCTATACTGTGAAGAACTAGCCAATGGGTCGTAACCAACACCTGCGACCCCCCCCCCCATCATCAGCAACGGCTACGATTTCAACAGCACAGTGTCACCAACACCAGACACCCCTTATATATTAGCGTTGAATTCAGTTATATTTATTATTTTTCATTTTTCATTTTCTTTAATGTAGGATTAATATTTCATATTTAAGTGTTTTATATTTTATATTTTCCATATAATAAAGTGTTTATGTTTGTTTGTTATTATTTCTTTTTCTATTCATTAATTTTCCTGAGGAGGAGCCAGCCTTGGTAATACTGTCTGAAGTTATTACAGGGCTGAGTAAAGCCTTCACAATGAACTTTTTTCAAAAGGGGTTTTTTAAAGGTACAAAATTGAACTTTGTAAGTCATTAATTAAGCTTTTTTAATATATATCTCCAAACAGGGGGAGTGTCTGAGATTTTGGAAAAATGGCTAATGTAATTACTATTTTTTAAAGCCGAGAATAAGTCATTCCATCAATTTACTGCTCAATAAGCCTGACCTCAATTGTAGACAAATTATTAGTTAATTATAGCTGAAATATAAAAATCCACATTGAAAAAGCATTTTTATTTATGATTTTCAACGCTGATTTACGAGGTACCTTTCCTACATGACAAATTTAATGACTTTCTTTATTAAAACAATTGAGTCAGATGATCATTATAAAGATTACGATATTTTTTTATTTGGATTTTAGCAAAGCTTTGATAAAATACAACAGAAAAGATGTTAAAGAAAGTAGCAGCTAAAGGGTATTGGCGGAAATGTCGTAATCATGGATCGAACCTGCATAAGGGGTGAAATCTGAGTGGGAATCAGTCACAAGTGGTGTTCCACGGAGACCGGTTCTAGGCCCCATTGTTGTTCTTAATTCACATTAATGACATTGACGAGAGAATAAAAAAAAATGATGTGAACAAATTGGCTGATGACACTAAAATGGGCAGAATAAATAAGAAGATACAATGTACTTCAGGTGGTTTTAGACAAGCTAACTCGTAGTCATAACAGTGGCAGATGTGACTCACGAAATCGTAATTTGGCACGTTTGCAAACAAACCATACCACAGGTGGGGTTAGAACCCGCGATCAAAGAGTCACAAAACTCGAGACCGACGCGTTAGCCACTGGGCCATCTAGCTACAATATATTTATCCAACTAAGGAAATTCGTCTGTAAAAATTTGCCTTTGTGGTCACAGTGGTGCCTATGCTAACCTTCCTATGGTACTAAATATACCTAGTTGGATGAATCTTATTGTAGCTAGCTAACACATCAGTCTGGAGTTTTGTGACTCTCTGATCGCGGGTTCTAACCCCAACCGTGGTATGGTTAGTGGCAGAAGTATCTCAATATAGATAAAATCAAAATCATAATGCAAATAACCTTAGTTCTTTATAACTAAATAATTCCAAACCTAGCCATACAGAATATGGAAAGGACTTGGGATTTATGGTAAACAGCAACCTGAATTCAGGAGGTCACAGATGTTTTTAGGGGTGATAAAAAAAATTGAAAGATTATGGAAAAAAATGTTTTCTTACCGACAAATAGTGCATAATTCTGGTAATATGTTGATGTAATTAGCTTGTTTCTATCATATTTCTAAGTATGATTTTCCAAAAAATGTAATTTTTTTTGTTCTTGCTGCCATCAAAAAGACATGATGGCAATTCGTGTTTTTTTTTCCTCCAATAATTACGAATTTTTATGATTGTTTCATTCTAAATACACTATACTGCAACTTCTCTGAGACTCCATTCAAGTCAGTAAGTGATAACATCTCAGTCGCGTGCGGGCTGTCAACATGTGTTGAGGTGTGCGACATTACTGAAATGTGGTGTGCCATAACCGTAGAGTTTTACAGAAAACATAATATATAACTCACGAATAATTTGACATTATTTCCATTTTTAGCGAAAAGTATTTATAGGAGTCTCATGATTTTTGCACACATTATTGAGTAATAATGGTTCTACTACCATGTAAAGGGATTTTGCGATTTTTTTAATGTACTGTTTTTACTGATATTTTTCTCCCCAAAAAATCCTTAAATAAATAATATAATTCAACATCTTTTATTATGCAATCTATTGACATTTTTGCTGAAATGGGCTTATTACCAAGATTATTTATCCCTTATCTTCCATCTGATGTCAACTAGAGCAGTGTACATCTTGCCAATTTTGTAGATAAGGGAGAGTTTTATGCCCTATAGAATAGGGCACAATTTATTTTTCTGTATCTTTTAGGGCAAAAAGTGACTACAAACTCTTGTTTAAATCACTGTAAAAATTTCATTGAAATTGGACAAAAAAGAAAAAAGAAAAATTATTTCGCTAGGACCCTCCTGAAGTCAAGACACCAGTGCATGAGCACACATAATATGTCTAACAAAATTTTGGAATTTATGTCCAAGAAATATAAGGAGTCCAGGAGGTTGTACTTCAGCTCAATTCACCGTTAGTAAGGCCTCACTTGGCTTATGCGGCTCATTTCTGGTCTCCTTACTACAGAATGAACATAAATTCATTAGAGAACATACAGAGAAGAATGATAAAATTACTACGCTGCATAAGGGCCAATGGCTATAAGAGGTGCGACCCAAAATACATTCATAACTACTGTTCTTCCCAATAATTTAACTTGGAACATGTGTCCCTTACTGTCATTTGTTATAAAGACACCGCATTTTTATCTACCGATAAACTGCTGATATTTATTTTCAATAACTTACTTGGTTCTATTGATATTTTATGCTTTAATAGATAATAAGTTTAGATATTTTATACATTGACAATTTACAGAACTGGCTGGAGCAGTGCTGTCAGTATCATCGCTTAGTAGAAGCAATATATTCAGCAGGGAAAAATAATAATATAGAAAACGAAAAGAAGGTGGAGAAGTTGCTATATTCCGGGGCACCCTTAGTATCTCCTGGGTCGATCTATAACAGTCCACTTCACTTGGCCATCACCTACAACTTACTGAACATCTTGAGGCGCCTTCTGGATAATGGCGCTTCCCTGACAGCCAAGCACTTCGGCCTGGTTCCCTTCCAGGTAGCCTGGCGAGCCACAGGGGTCACTAGTGAAGTGAGCAATTGCATTACGAGGGTATGTTTCAGGATTTTTTGTTGGTATATTACCAGTTTGTTTTAAATAGAAATGATATAATAATGTTTTTACTATAAGACAGTCATGGATAAAACTCAAGGACGTTTTGCTGACAATAATTAAGAGGCTCTGCAGAAAAGCTTTTATTTGCACAAATTTTCAATCTACACAGACATGAGAAATCGGTATAGCACATATACAGTCAGGTTTACTTCAGGGAATTTGAATTTCATTTTATTTCCCGGGTCCTTTATATATTTATTTTTTTGACGAAAGAACCCTACCTACCTTTGTTTGTATTAGTGTGTTATAATGTACATTTGTGTAATTGGCATTTGATAGGTACTGAACATAAAATTCATCATAGCTCATAATTTTTGTAATGTTTTTATATATCCTGAGACAGTTTCTCTTTTTTCTCCTGTTATTCCACGATTATCGGTGGTTTATAGATAAAATATATCAGTTACTCTAATTAGGGAATGTTTTAATATTTTTTTCTACCATATCCACATATATTCTCACACACATTCTCATACGTAAAAAGAATCTAAATACAATGTAGGAACTTTCCGCTAAACCGAAGGATTTTTACCCAATCCCAAGACCTCCAGCGAAGGTGCTCCCTGTGATTATACTTCCTTGGACCACCTCCACTTTTCTGCAACTTTGCAAAACTCAGATGATGTGTTGATTGTAATAACGAAAGGCCCAGAGCTATCATTCAGCTTCCCCGTGGTTGTTTTACATATATATATATTATATTATCTATATATATCATATATATACTATATAATATATTATATATATATATATATATTATATATATATATATATATATAATATTATATAATGCAGTATAAATTCATTATGGCAACAATCTTGCAACAACTGGTTAAACCCCATTAGGATGGGAAGAGAGAAAAGACGTGTCAATTGTATTTAAATCACGACACGACGCTTGTGAGTTCAGGGTGTACTGAAAAATATTCAGATTACAGTGATTATTGTACTCTGGAATAAGCGTGTGCATTGACATATTGGATATAATGAAATATGTAAATCACGCCGTTCTTCATAAAATATACAGGCATAATTGTAATTTAATATATGTGAAATACACTTGGAAACTTACAAAAGAAAAGACTGTGCAGGTATAGATCTATACTTTCATTTGAAGTGATACTCAATGATTCTGAGTTTTGACATATAGAGGACGCCACAATAACTAGTGTGCTTAACAGCAAGACATTAAGAGTCACTGTCAACAATTTTAAAAACTCTGATTTGTAGCACTAATTACAGTGATTTTCCAACAGTGGTAGAGATAAACTCATTAATGAGAAACGTCTATTTACAACTGACCCAGTGGATTCTTGTCTGAAGAAAGGTATTCCCCGCATATTAAGAGAGATTCAAGGAAAAACACCGTGGCGAGCCAAGTTTTATTATACAGAAGAGAACTTCACTCTGCCGCAGCTACTTGTGAGAGCGTGGTGCAGTAGGTGCCACCATGACTGCATGGTTTGTGTTGCAGGCAGGCGCAGCACCAACACTAAGGACAGTAGCGGCACCACAGCCCTTCATGCCGCCGTGCAAGCAGGAAATTCGACACTGCACGTGCGCTTGTCAACGACATGAAAGCAAACCTTTTCTGGCTGATGATGCAGGTCGACGGCCCATCGACATCCTCCCACCGCTGGAAGACAACTTCTAATGCAGGTAAGCCGGCCCACAGGTAAGCCGACCCACAGGTAAGCCGGCCCACAGCTATACGGCCCACAGATACTTACTTTTTATATCACTATTATGCTGTCATCTTTAAATGAGTATTACTTAAAACACGGGGTATAAAGAGCTGCAACAGGTTTTGTAATTGTTAAGAATGTGATTTAAAGAAAAAAAAAACAGGCGGAAG